GAGAGGGAAGGGGTGGGGAGAAGAGAGGGAAGGGGTGGGGAGAAGAGAGGGAAGGGATGGGGAGAAGAGAGGGAAGGGATGGGGAGAAGAGAGAGGGAAGGGATGGGGAGGGGAGAGAGGGAAGGGATGGGGAGGGGAGAGATGGAAGGGATGGGGAGGGAACGAGAAGGGAGGGATGGGGAGAAGAGAGAGGGAAGGGATGAGGTGTGCCTTCTGTGTTACATGTCTCCACCTTGTCTTGTGCAGGAAGGGCTGACGGAGCTCAACAGCACAGCCATCAAGCCACAGGTGCAGCCTTGGATCAACAGCTTTTTCTCCGTCTCCCACAACATCGAGGAGGTTAGCCTGGCCACAGGCAGCCATCAAGCCCCAATGACCCCTCACCCCTAGCCCCAGCTGGAGGGAGCAGAGCCATCTGAACAGACTAGACCTTCCATGCTTCCCAGCCCACTTCCCCCACCCTCACCCTTGAAGACTAGGTTCCTCCCAGGAAACAGTTTGTCCCTAGTCAGAAGGGCTCAGAAAGACATGGAGTTTGCCTTGACCTAACTTATTCCCTTGTATTGGCGCTCTTTTTGCCCCACCTATGATAGACTTAGAAGCGTTTTTTTCCTCCTGGGCTAGTGATTTCATTCCTGTAGAACATGAGATCCAAGAAGGAATAAAATGCCAGGAACTTTACCATATTATGTGGGCCTCTGCTACAGCCCTGGGCTGTTTGCTGGTCAGTTTCTGCCAGCCTGGGTGTCTGAGCTGGTTTTAAACTAGATGAGTCAAGGCACAGGAAAGGAAGAACGTTTTACATTATTTTCTTAGAGGGATAGAGGTGGGTGGCAGTGAATGGTACTTTTTAGAAAGAGGCCCATGGTGACCACCAGTCCTGCTTCCTGACAACAGGAAGAATTCAATGACTATGAAGCCAATGACCCTTGGGTACAACAGTTCATCCTTAACCTGGAGCAGCAAATGGCGGAGTTCAAGGTGAGTAGGGGCCCTAGGGATCCACTTAGGGAAATTACCCACCTCTGCCCAAACCAGCAGCCTGCAGGGTCTCATCACATTCCTTCTGGGAACCCTGGAAGCCCTTCCAACCCCAACCTGTAGAAACACTGCCCCGTGGCCTCACCTAACCATCCTCGCCACCTAAGACTCCAGCGTAGAGGCAGAGGAGTTAGGTGGGGCTCTGATGTCAACCCTCTGTGTGCAGGCCAGCCTGTCCCCGGTCATCTACGACAGCCTAACCGGCCTCATGACCAGCCTTGTTGCCGTCGAGTTGGAGAAAGTGGTGCTGAAATCCACCTTTAACCGGGTAAGGTAAAGGGGTCATGGGTCTGCAGCTCGCGTTTCTCCTCTGAGGAAGACAAGCCATGCCACCACCCCAGGACTTGCATCCCCTCTGTCTGCTGCCCACAGGCCCTGCATGTCTGGGTCCAGTTCTGCCCTGACTTCTGAAGCCGTAGAGCAAACTGGAGCCACAGGGCACCACCTGAGGCCTGGCCAGCCTTGCCACCCAGCTCTGGGGGCAGTTGGAGGCCAGTTCTGCTTGGCCAGGCCTAAGTAGTTACTGGGCTTGGCTTCTTCTGCAGCTGGGCGGTCTGCAGTTTGACAAAGAGCTGAGGTCACTCATTGCCTACCTTACCACGGTGACCACGTGGACCATCCGAGACAAGTTTGCCCGGCTCTCCCAGATGGCCACCATCCTCAATCTGGAGCGGGTAGGTGGCTCGCCCTTGGCCCAACCACGGAAGGGTGACTGAAAGAGGCAAAGATGGATCCCCGCCACTTCCCTCTAAACCATGTCTCTGCCAGCAGCCAGCCCTACAGGACACCTTCCCCTTCCCAGGTGCCCCTGCTCTGCCCCTGGTGGAGGCCAGAGCCCTCTTTCAGAATAGCCCCACCTTGCTGACTGGTCTCTATGTCTTTCCCCACAGGTGACCGAGATCCTCGATTACTGGGGACCCAACTCCGGCCCATTGACGTGGCGCCTCACCCCTGCTGAAGTGCGCCAGGTGCTGGCCCTGCGCATAGACTTCCGCAGTGAAGATATCAAGAGGCTGCGCCTGTAGCTGCCTGGGTGAACACACCTGGCTCATCACACTTCCGGGCCTGTTCCCGAAGGGGCCCCAGCCAAGGAGCTGAGCGAGACTGTCTGACTTGGGGGAGATCTGACAGCCCAGACCTTTCTACAGCTGGCAGCAGAGAAACAAGGTCTGGACCCCCTCCATGCTCTGCCCTCAGGCCTGGCCAGGTGATGCTCTGGGGGCAGCGTCTCCCCACCAAGAGAAGCGGGCTCCTAATGAGGTAGGAAAGCCACGGCAGGCAGCGGGCAGCCCAGGCCAGCTTTCTGCGTGGATGGTCAGTCTCTTGCCCTCAAACACTACAGCAAACAAGCTACCCTGCCAGCCCTAGACAACTTGGGTACATCTGGGGACCTAGCAGTTAGGCTTGACTTCGAGGAAAGGCTGTGAAGTTTATGATCCCTGAATAAAGCTACCCCTTGGAGAGATGCCAGTGTGCTGTTTCCAGGGAGGGCCAGATGCTATGGGGCAGGGCAGGTCTACCAGTTGCACTGAAATAGGAAGGCAAAACCCAAGACCTCAGCTTCCTGCCACACGCAGTGCACACACAGCTGTGTCCGGGACCCACGTGATGGCAGGAGCCCCCATCCAGTCCCAGACCCTCACGCCCCTATGGGGCCCTCAGCACCACAAGCTGGATCACCGCAGGGCCAGTTCCCCATGGTGTAGGAAGTGGAAACTGCTCCCAGGAGGAGCAAAAGTGACTTCATGAGAACCACCTGTAAGGACAGAGTGACTTTATTCCAAGAATGCCAGTCCTGAGAACCCACTTCCCACAGGCACCAGGTCACTTGGCACGGTCCGTAGCTTTGCTGGTTAAGGCCTGGGATGGCAGTGAATCGCTGGGTCACTGCCACCAACTTGGCAAGGGACCGCCACCCTCACTCCCACGCTCCCATGAGGGTGAAGCGTGAAGTCTACAACTCTAAGGAAGGCCACAGGGAATGCCTCGGAGGGCCTCTTCAGGGTTGGCCTTGCCAAGGGACTCACAGCCATATGCCAAGGCTGGCTGTCAACCCTTTCCAGGGCCCTCGTGGAATGAGAAGGCCAGCCATAGGATTTGTAAAGGCCACATGGGATACTAAGCTTGGGACCTTCTTATGTCCAGGAGGAACAGAGGCTATACCTAGGCCACTGTCCACCAGGTCAGTCCTGTCCCAGGCACTCTCTGCTTGCCCAGGTCTTGCTCTGGTCAGCTTCCTTTGGGAGCAGATTCGCAGAGGTGGGTGGGGAGTAGGAGGTGGAGGTTCCCATGGGGCAAGGAAGGTGGGGGACACTGTAGCTCCAGGTTTTCTCCTGTTGCAGAGAGAAGCCAGCTTCATGGGAAAGGGCAACAGGTTGAGGCCTCGGTCCCCAGCAGCTTCAGGCTCAGGCCCTGCGTGTCCACTTCAACCAGGTGGATGCTGTAATTCCCAAGGCCCTGGACAGGACAGGAAGTATTTAGAAGGCTTTGGACAAATCTCAGGCCTTCTGGAGGCTGGACTGAGCCTGCAGGACCAGGGGAACTTGCAGATATAGCCCCTGGTTAACTGGTGGGCCACAGTGAGGTTTCTTGCCCCAAGAGGTCTCCTGACCAACCCCAGCCCCATCAGTACCTCGGTCTTGGCCAGCACCGCCTCCAAGGTCTCCTTTTGCTGTGGCTCCTTGGTCAACAGATAGAGAAAGCCTCCACCGCCTGCCCCAGCCAGGCTCTGGCCATGCACGTGGGGGGCCAGGACATCCATCATACGCCGCACAGCCAGGGGCTCACAGCCTGGAGCCATGAGCTTCTTCTGCTCCCAGTATGAGGTCAGGCACTGGCCCAGCAGAGGCAGGCTTCCTGAGGTGGGGCAGAGGGGAGTGATGTGCCTGGGCCAAGATACTCAGCACCCGTCTGGAGATTGCATGAAGTGCCAGGACGTGCTGCTGAGCCAGTGTCATGGTAAAGAAGCCAGATTCCAGTGCTGGCTGGAGCTGGAAGTAACAAGCCCACTTCCCAGGACTGCCTGAGGACCAATGTGCAGGAAGCAACCAACACCACACCCAGCACAGTCGGCATCTAGGGAGCTGTGAAGGCACACACTGGGGCCCTGCCCGGCTCAGACTTCCCTGGAACTCAGCCATGGGGTGAGTCCCTTCCCCTTTCTGCTTCCTGTTAGGTGGGGCTGGAGGGCCTTTCCCATGATGGAAATTTTGTCCTCAGATGTGACTTTCCCCTAAATGTGAGACCTTGGAGAGGATAGACAATAGGCTTCTGTTCCCAGAGGCCTAATATCTGGAGCTTGTGCCAAGCCTGCAGATGACCCTGGCCTCAAACCCACAAGTGGCAGGATACTCGCTCCTGGTGCCCTGACCCCCCCCGCCCCGGAAGAAGCCCCTCACCTTGGCGGAAGGCTTCAGCGCACTCCTCAGTTTGCTGCACCAGGCTGTGGGCATTCTGCACCACAGCAGGCAGTCGGGCGTACCAGCTCCTCAGCACATCCTGTGGACGGGGCAGGAGAAGGGGTGGTGAGGACCCAGGCCCAGCCGGCAGGCCCCCTGCCTGCCTCCCTCATGCTGGGGCCAGAGCTCACCTGCAGCAGATTCCGAGCCAGGCGGGTCTTGCCAGTGTACACCAAGAGCAGGTGGTCATTGAGCTTCTGGACAAAGCCCTCAGGCACTGTGACCTCTTCTACCTCCACCTTCAGCGGCAGCTGAGCCCGGGAGCGCCCCACCTTGATGCCAGGCATTAGGCCACCCACTTGGTCCTGCCAGCCACCTCCTGTGAGCCCAGGGCCTGTCACTGTTGGAGTCTGTCTGGCCCAGCTTCATTCTCCCAGTCTAGGCTCCCGGCCCTGTACCCCTTGCTGGGAGCAGTATGGAAAGATAGCTTCCCTCAACTCCAGAGGACAGTGAGCTACGCAGCTTCTGTCCCCAGGACAATCCCAGCAAGGGAATGGGCTTCACTCCAGGGCAAAGCTTGGAATTCCCGAGGCCTGAGTTTTGTTTTAGACCTAATGTGTAATTGGAATTGGGATAAACCACATTGAAGGATAAAGATTTTACACTATGGCCGGGCATGGTGACGCACACCTGTAATCACAGCACTTTGGGAGGCTAAGGCGGGCAGATCACTTGAGGTCAGGAGTTTGAGACCAGCCTGGCCAACATGGTGAAACCCCATCTCTACCAAAAACACAAAAATTAGCCAGGCATGATGGTAAGTGCCCTGTAATCCCAGCTTCTGGGGAGGCTGAGGCAGAGGTTGCAGTGAGCTGAGATCTCACCGCTACACTCCAGCCTGGGTAACAGTGTGAGACTCTGGCTCAAAAAATACATATTTTACACTAACCTCTGCCCCTCCTAGGGGAGTTTTAGTCAGAGGAGAGGCTGACAGATACCTTCCCTATAGCCTGAGTCTCCCTGCACCATCTTCTGACAGGTGGTTTATGTTGGAAGGAAGCTCATCAGGATCTATTTTTATCTTATCTAACTTACACATCTTTCCAGCTTCAGTAATGAAAGGTATGTATCATTTTCCTCCTTGTAGCTGCATAAAAATAACAAAACTAGTCCGGGCATGGTGGCTCATGGTAGCACTTTGGGAGGCCAAGGCAGGCGGATCACGAGGTCAGGAGTTCAAGACCAGACTGGCCAACACAGTGAAACCCCATCTCTACTAAAAATACAAAAAATTAGCTGGGCACGGTGGCAGGCGCCTGTAATACCAGTTACTCGGGAGGCTGAGGCAGGAGAATCGCTTGAACCCGGGAGGTAGAGGTTGCAGTGAGCCGAGATCGTGCCACTGCACTCCAATCTGGGTGACAGAGCTAGACTCCATCTCAAAAATAAAAAAAAAAATTTAAAATAACAAAACTTGAGTTGCTTCTGGGACAGACCCTTGATATTTAGGGAAGGGCCTGCAAGGGTTTAGAGTACGAAATGCAAAAGACAGGAGCCATCTGGAACTTTGCAGCCAAAACCTGGTGGCTGCAAAGTGGCTAAATCTTGAAATGTCAAGACTTAACTGTGCCCCTCTGCTTCAGAGCACTTGGCACAGTTTGTAATACACATGTACCTGAGTGGTTATTGATTAATGTCTGTCTCCAGGAGACCACAGGATTTTTGAAGGCAGGGACCCCCTTTTTGCTCATTTTATCCCCGGGGCCCCACAGAGTGGGTTCTCAACAAATAGTCATCCGTTGGCCAGTGTAGAACTTGAATGGCGCACCTCAAAAGAAAGCTGGAAAGGCTTCCCCATCTGCACCTTTTGCTAATGACTACCGATTATGGGATATGAGTCACTACAGTGAAATGAGAGGCTTGAGCTACAGAGTGACAGAAAACACCACAATCAGGCTTCAGTAGGCCTTTGTAGCAGTTTCCTTCCAGGGGTGTGCTGGAGACGGGGCCTGACACCCTGAGGTGGACCTGAAACCAGACAAGCCTGTGGCTGCTCTACACTAGCCATGGGTTCCAGGGGGCTCGGTGGCCAAGAGGAGTGAGAAGCCTGGCGCTGGTGACATTCGTTAGATCATAGTCATTGTTGGGCTCTTGCTGCCCTACCATATGGCCAGGGGGTGGGGGCGGGGGCACAGGTGATCGCATCTCAAGTAAGGGCATGATGCCAGAATGGCAGGCAGAAGGTCCAAACCAGCTCTGCCCAGCCCTACCTGAGCACAGCCCTGGATAGGCACAGTCACGAAGCATAGCACCTGGTTCCAACAAGCATAAAAGGCACAGCACAGGCCCAGTGCGGTGGCTCACGCCTGTAATCCCAGCATTTTGGGAGGCCGAGGTGGGCGGATCACTAGGTCAGGAGATCGAGACCATCCTGGCTAACGGTGAAACCCCGTCTCTACTAACAATACAAAAACTTAGCTCGGGGTGGTGGCAGGCGCCTGTAGTCCCAGCTACTCGGGAGGCTGAAGCAGGAGAATGGTGTGAACCTGGGAGGCAGAGCTTGCAGTGAGCCAAGATCACACCACTGCACTCCAGCCTGGGTGACAGAGCAAGACTCCATCTCAAAAAAGAAAGAAAAGAAAGGCACAGCACAGAATCTGGCACTTAGTAGATGCTCATGAAACAGCTCGTTGGGAGGTAGAACATTTCAAGTTGAAAGTGACCAGAGAAGGTCAAAGTGACTAGAAGGAAAGTATTTTCAACAGCAGCACAGTCATGTGGCTGTTGGCCAATCACATGCAAATCCACTCCCCCCGCAGGCCCTTGGGAAAGTGTCAGTGACTTCCCCCAACTCCAGGGCAGTCACATACCAGTGGTGAGCACCTGCTCCAGGTGCAGCACTGCATGGATCAGGGCTTCCGTGCCCACCACCCGGCCTGCGGCTCGCTGCAAGGCAGCCAGGGCAGTGCCTGCCAAGATGCTGCTGGTGCCTGCAGGGCAGAGAGGAGAGAGCAGGCATGAAACACCTCTGCCCTGCCCAGGCCTGCCTGACTCCCTCTACGGGCAG